TGCTGAATTTCTTCCTGGTTGTGTTATTTTTCCTTGTTTTATATCTTTCGATACCTCGACCAGTAATAAGAATATTCTACAAAAACACAGTTCAAACTTAACTGCTCCATGTCCAGCGTGGCTGTGGTACATAACACGGAAAAGTTGCTGATAGTAATGTTTACATTTCTTTTTTTTTTCTTCTTCAAGTATCGTAAGCAGCCTATTGAACATATCTAACGCATTTATGTTTTATTTTCTTTTAATATGTATATAGATTGTGGTTCTTTGAAAAATACCTCACTGCAGAGTCCTGGATATCCAAATGAGTATCAAAGTAATCTGGATTGTATATGGCAGGTTACCATTCCTAACGGCATGGCTATGCGGATTCATTTCTATGATTTTGAGTTGGAGGGCGATATATGTCGGTATGTAACAAAGCTAAAAGAGCTATTCTCTCTTTAATTGTAGACTACTTCGCACAATTGTGTTTCAGCTCAGCATTCATTCATCATTACTAGAGTTGTGCCCACTATACAATCTGATCGCAGGTGCTTAAAGAAGCATAACCTGTGGTGGACCGACACACGGTTCTGACGTCATAACCAGATTTCCTCGTCCTCATTCGATATCAACGTCTTTTGAGATATGGAGTCTCATACACGCTAAGCGACTTACTTTGAGAATTCTCCGTTTCGAAGTGATGGCCATAGGATGCAAAAAAAGAACAAAAACAAAACATGCGCAATCATGCCTGTTAATCAGTCTTTACAGATAAGTTGTAAAATTTAAGGTTACTTCATTAATGTGAATACCTTAAGGTTTCTCTATTTCACAGGTATGACTATGTGGAAATTTCCAACGAGAATAATGTAAATTTTGGAAAATACTGTGGAACGCAGACTGGAAAAACAATTGAAATAACTGGAGAATACGCCGTGATAAAATTCCATTCAGACTCAGCAGATCAGGAGAAAGGATTTTCCTTGTTCTTCACTGCTGTTTTACCAAGTACGTGCCATTGGCATTTATCTTTTATAGCTCAAATGGCAAAAATATCTATTATAACTCGTTAATATGACTACCTGAACTTTGGAGCGTGCTAACTAATAAATGCAATAATAATAATAATAATAATAAATAACAAACGATGCTGGATATCCTGCATGTCAAGGACGTGAGAGTAATCAAAGAATTCAGCAGTTCAAATGTACTCCTTTGTTTATAAGATTCTACACACGCTCTCATAGGTCGATAGGTGTTTGGATGAGTGTGTGTAAAAACAGATGTGACCTCATGCCTGCCCTGGCTGAGTTTGGTATATCCCCACCTTTTCATGTTTCTCACTTTGTATATCTCCAAAAACAAATTACTTAGGTACTATGCTGTTACACTATTTTTCCAATATACCCCAGGTTTTGGACTCAGCTTAATGTTCTGCACTAAAAGACTCTAACTAATTTTCACTGAAAGGTCCTCCTGTCATATCGATGCCTGCTGTGGAGCGTGCCTTCGTGAGCGAAGAAATGACATGTTCAGCGACAGGAAGTCTTCCTATACACACAGCAATATTAAAGGACTCAACAGTATTGGTAAATACTACAAACTTAGCCACGGTTCGCTTCCGTGAAGAAGGGAACTATTCCTGTGTGGCCACCAGCAAGTATGGGACTGATGTGCAGGAGATAGTAGTGATACTTCCAGGTGAGCCTGAATCCAATAACCACGATCACTAGTTCATATTCATTTAGGTGATACAGAAACTAGTATAGAGCACCAAGTTTTCTTACTTGCACTTTACTGGCGTTTAGTTTACGACAGTGCTTACAGCAACTTTTGCTAAAATTAATAGATAAACCCTATATACACCCTTCATTTTGTCCTATCTGACTGTTTTGATATTTTCTTAAACCTTTCTTACCCCGCCCCCCTCGAAACAATGATGCATTTTTTTTGTTATTTAACCTGCCGCTGGAGATAAAATATTGCTTAAGGGTATAATAAAGTGTATGAATTTTATTAGCTCTCATAGAGTCAAACGACTCTCAAAAGAGGTCAATTTTTAAAAACATTTTGTTTCAGCTACTTGAAAAGTGATTCAAAATGAATTCGGTAACTTAAGTTAATTAATTACTGTACCTAAAAAAAAACCAACATCATACCGCAAACTGAATAATAGAGGGATAAATATCAATATGATATTCAGAAAGAAACAATAACTTCAAAATATAATATTTGAAGAAGGAAAAAATGGTAAAACTTTCCGAGTTTATGCCGAGATTAGGGAGCTTCCAAACAAATTTCATATTTTATATGACGGAAAAGCAGTTGTTAATATTTTCATATCTCTTGGTTATTTATAGTTGTCTTTTCCCAGTATCTACCTTAGTTCGTTTAAGCATATTGAGTAGAACTTGAAACGCATTTTAAGCGATAACTATCGTTCCTATAGGTTGTGGTTCCTTGAGAAACAACTCACTACAGAGTCCTGAATATCCAAATTCGTACCCAAGGAATATGGATTGTTTATATCAGGTTATCATTCCTCAAAGCATGACGATGAAAATTTATTTCGAAGATTTTGCACTAGAGGAAGCGTCCTTATGCAGGTATTAAAGGTTTCAACACGTCTAGTACCCTGGTATAGGGCCAGTTATTGAATGCTTAGAGCTCCCCTCCCCCCCACCCCCGGTATCTATACCTTTATCAGAGGACCACCTTGCCGTCAACTCCAAAATTTAAAACAACGGCTAGGATAAGAAAAACAACCTTCAACGTTCTTCTACATCTCCCGCCGAATATTTTTTAGTCTTCGTCTATTTCTATTTTTTCAGCTTCAAATAATTTTAACAATAAGGATACGACACCAGTGACGGTAAAAACGGCAACGACAGCGGGAACGACAAAGACTACCAAAAACGAAAATGACGAAGGTAACGGCATCTGCAAAGATAAAAAAACGATAGCGACAACGAAGACGAAAATGAAAATGATGACGACGACAAAAACAACAGCAAAGATGTCAACGTTAACGAGAACGAGGACAATGATAATTACAACGTCCATGACAACAATAACGATATTCACCATGCTGTCGGTGACTGTAATGATGACGAGAATAAACACATCAATGATTGTGATTATGATGTTGATGACAATGATGGAGACAATAACTCGAAGGGTTTATTTTACAAGGGCTAACAACTATCAAATCGGATTTAAAAATTTATTCTTGCAATGATTTTATGATTACGAAAAATATTTTAAGTTATATATATTAAACTATATAATTGCTGTTATTAAAATTCAAAAGGAAAACTGTAAAAACTATTGGAGAAAGGTACCTTAGGAGCGTCTTTATTTTGCAGAGATGACTTTGTAGAAATTTCCAATCAGAATAACTTCACATTTGGTAAATACTGTGGAATACAGACTGGAAGAACAGTTGAAGTATCTGGAGACTACGCGATAATAACATTCCACTCTGACCTATATGGTCAGACAAGAGGATTTTCCCTGCTGTTTACGGCTGTGTTACCTAGTGTGTACACTAAGTGTTTATCTTTCAATGTTCTGATAAAAAATATGTATATTCCTCAAACCGATTCCTTGAAACTTTATCCTATAGGTGGGTTATTTTGTTCGCGTGATTTATACATCGAGCTTCAAAAAAATTATGCATGCAATGGCACATTAAATGATATTCACGGGTTATTTATTACACAAGGATATCACAAATAAAACTTATTAATTATGCTCTCAAAGTTCTCAATTGACACCAATTTCATTGTTTTAAGGTCAGCCCGTGTACAGGTATTTATTTCGGGAGGAAGTTTTAAGTAGGATGAACTGATATTAAACAGAGGTAGATTTAGGTACCGTCAAACTAAAATGCGGAAGGACGATAACGTTAACCTACGACCCAAAGAATATACTTCATAGTAAGATGAGCATTATAGATGCAAATTTTATCAAAACTTGACGCCCAAAGAATGCTTTGGCAGGTAATAACCCAGTCGTTTCATTTCCCCATGTGACTTACTCTTGTGTTCAACAGGATGCTTCATTGTTACTTGTAATATTTCTTCATTATGCATTTCTTGAAGGTCCTCCAAGCATATCGATGCCAGTTCTTGTGCGAGCCTTTCCAGGCAATGAGGTGATGTGTTTAGTGACGGGAAGTCCACCTATACACACAGTGATTCTAAACGACTCGATTCTACTTGTGAACACAACAAACACAGCATCTTTTAAGTTCCTTAAGGAAGGAAACTACTCTTGTTTGGCGACCAACAAGTATGGATCTGTCTTTAGAGTCTTCACTGTTCTAGGTAAGTCTCTGACTAAAGGCCGTTGATCACCTCAAAGACACCAATGAAGCAAATAAACCTAAGGGGAAATTAAACAACTTAGTTCTTAGATTGATCCATTCTATCCAAGTATGGAGGTACGTCCTGGAGTTCTCAATCAGTTAACTTGATACTTCAGTCCTGGTTTGGGGCTAGTTTGCTTCGAATCACTTAAAGATTTACTCATTTCAATTTTTAGATAAGACGGAGAATGCAAAATGTCAGTTTTGATAAATGACTACTAAATGAATATTTTCTTAAACCATGAAGTAAGTAGATTTTAACTTTCCATTAGGCCGGCTGAAGTAACAAAATCGCCGGTTGGGAATTAAAATTTTTGCATTTTCGAGGAAGATAGCTTTTTCAATAATTTAATCTTCTTGTTATTGTTGCTATTACCACGTTTCTTTTTCTCTTTTTCACTTGGCTTTTTTAAGATGTCGTTCTTGCTTTAAATTTTTAATAATTTCTTTTAAGATTGCAGACCCAAATGTTCTTTCGGATTAAGATTTTATGGCTGGACTCTTTCCTGTACCAACGCAACACCTTCGTACCTTATGGACTGCCTTCCGGAGAGAACTGAAAACCTGTAACTTTGTTTTATGAGACTTCTTACACAACTGATCAACATTGCTTTCCTTACAATTTTATATCTTGGCTATTCTGTTTCTCTTCTTTTTTTTTTTTGCTTTTTTTGCTGTAGATGTGTTTTTGATAGTGGGCGTGCATCCCTCTAAGAATCCTAGTTCGTTGTCCATGTTGGTGCAATTGGTGCGAAATATCACACAAATCATCCTATCTGCCCTACGGAAATATGGATACCTTTGGAAAAGGAAAATGATTACATGGCCTTCCGGGTGATATATACTTTTAATGTTACCAAATTCCCTTTTATAACCAATTCTCTTTGTTTTGTGACTTTAATTTTCAATAGGAATTTATCTTCAAACGCAATCAAATTTCTTCCAGTTGGATTGTTTGCTGCTGCAGCGATCGGGCTGAAGGACCTGTAAGTGCAATTTGACACACCTAAACTCGCCAAATTTTACTCAGTGAATTGCTATCTCTTTATGCCGCCATTTAATCCTAATATTGAATACAATGATGGTGTTTGTCACTTAAATATCCTGTCATTTACAAAAACAAGGTGAAGCTACAGTATAAATACGAGTCATAAGATCTGAATAGGTTTACGAAAAATCAAGTAAAAAAAAATTAAAATGCAACAAGGAGTAAAAACGGCCAAACGTGACGAACGAAGCCTTTTATCTTGCTAACTTAAATTTTACGTTTACAGAGATTTGTCTTCAAATGCGATCACCTCTCTACCAGAGAAAGTGTTTGCCAAGCTAAACAGCCTTCGCAATCTGTACGTATTATGAAAAATGCCAATTTTACCTTGTTAAATATTCTCTTTAAACAATTATTGAGAAGCAATTTTAAAAGTAGATAATAAGAAACAATAAATGAATATTTTAAGTTATTCCGTTTTGTTTGAATATATTGGAGACTTTGGTAACTTTTGCCACTATTCATTTAATTTCGTTTCATTTCATTAAACATTTTTTTACCTTTGGAATAGTAACAATGTTAAAACTTTTTCCTGTTTTTTCTGTGTTCTTCTACAATTTTCCCATAAAGTTAAGCTACATTTGTTTTCCTTGGGTAACAATTCGTTTTTTCCGCAGGTTTTTATCTTCAAACGCCATTACCTTTCTCCCAAGAGAATTGTTTGCCAATCTGACAAGGTTGAGGCATCTGTAAGGAAAAGTTGATATACCTTAGCTTACTCTACAAAATGTTCAATGCATAATGTAATACAGCACCACTTTTGTTCTACGAAATGTCTGGATTGAGCGGTAGTGTCAATTATTTCAATATATTGTAGTTTAATTAAACAGTGTCAAGCGAAAGCACTAAGCATGGCACCTAGATATACTTTAGTGTATGGATTTGACAACTTTACCAAAAATACGACCAGAAAGAACAGGGAATGGAGCATAAATGATAGAAATAGACAAAAGTACATTTAAATCCTACTAATCTGGATATTATTTTACAGAGATTTGTCTTCAAATGCTATTACTTTCCTACCGGAAACAGTATTTGCCAACCTAAACAGCCTTCATACTCTGTGTGTATCATAACTATTTTTTCCATCACAATTTTGAACGTCTCAAACATTTTGAATCATTGTCTAGTTTCGATACTAAACTATAAATGAGTGGAAAAAGTCTTGGCACGCTTTTCTACTTTTTGAATTTTTTCCTACTTATTTCATTTATCTCCCCTTCTTCCCATTTCGATGTGGCCTTGTTTTTACAAAGTTGTCAAAGTTGGGAAAGGGAGGACTTTCAAGTAACTTATCAGAGATGAATTACAACATTTCGGTTTATTGTGTAGGGTGTTGTAGTTGTTTACCACTCAATAAAATGTACAAAGTTATCGACAAACTGGGTATTTTTTAATGCCAACCGATTAAACGCTTTGCTATTATTGTGTGTCCTTTTACAAAATCCCCTTCATGGCAAAGCTTTATCTTATTTAATTGGCTAAGACATTAATTTTTTTCACAGGCGTTTATCTTCAAACAGTATCGCTTCTCTTCCTGACGGATTATTTTCCGACCTAACCTTCCTAGAGAACCTGTATGTCAAATTTGGCAGACCTTAGCTTCCCCTGAAAAATGTTTTGTGCATACAATTAGACATTCCACCTTTACCCAATGCGAAGTTTCGTTCATGCGACTACTAGTTCAAAATTTCTGAATTGGGTGAAATGTTGTTATTCGTTATCCAACATAATATCATCTGCTGCTATTCACTCGACCTCCGTCCTTTTGCTCTCCCACACAATGTATTTTCTGCTCTTTAGGGCGCACAAGATTCTTGAAGTTTAATCATAGTGCTCTTCAGTTTTTTGCGTAATTCTTTGTGCTATTATTCGCTTAGGCTACCGGCAATCATGCTGAGTATTTTTTTTTTATTTCCTGGTATATCAATAGTCTATAAGATTGAAATGCTGAAATATTCATATGCCTTGTTATCATTTTCGAATTCTTCGTCCTATCATCAAATACAGATGGTATAAGAAATTATTTTTGTCTTGCTAAGTTAATAAAAATCTCCTCAGGGATTTATCATCAAACACTTTCACCATTCTTCCAGAAGGACTGTTTGCTAAATTGACCCGACTGAAGACACTGTAAGTGAAATTTAGTATATCTTAACTTATCTCATGAAGCACAATTGGCTTACCCAATTACATGTTCCCTTCATACCATTCTATGATCAAAATTTCGGAGCTGGATGAAACGATTTTTTTTATATTTTTCTGATATAATGTAGCCTCATCAAGAAATGTCGAGCGAAAAAAATGCACAGAATATACCACCGGAACACCTTATGATGTTCCTGGGTAGCAGCTTTACAACAAATTGGAAATGTTAACCGAAATATATGGGGGCGAACATAAAGAACCGAACTTTAAATCTCGCATTGATTGATAAGATGTTACTTTAAAAGGGATTTGTCTTTTTACGCCATTGCATCCCTACAGAATTAAGTGTTAGCCAAACTAACGAGCCTTAACGATCTGGGCATACTATGAAAAACCTTGATTTTACCCTATGAAAAATGTACTTCTCACTAGTGTTACGAATTTATATAATAACTTTGTAGTTTGAACAATTCGATTTTATTTCAATATGTTTAACTCCTTGGTTCTCTGGTAAATTTATTTTCCGGCGTTCCATTTTATTTGATGATAATATCAAATCTTTCCAGTAATTTCTGTGTTCTATCATGCCAGTAAGATTACCTTTTAAGAAAGGATCTCTTGTCATCCTGACTTACCTGATTGTTGTTGTTGTTGTTGTTTACAGGCATTTATCTTCAAACCTGATCAATTCTCTGTCAGAAGAAATTTTTCGCGAGCCGAACTCGCTAAAATACCTGTACGCCTTTTTAGAAATACATCAGCTTACCCTATAAAAAGTTCATTTCTTACGAAGATAAATACCACCTTTACTCAGTACAATGTTTTTTCACGCAACAATTTGATTTTTTTATTCGGACTTAATGAAAAGATGGCTTAAACCGAAACGGCAAATGCTTAATTGACTAAAATAGACATCACAATTTCGCAGAATGTCTCGTAGTTCATCTCCTAGCAGGCTTCAGTGTCTTCAACTCGCAACTTCGTGAGTAAAAATTTCAACTGCCACAGGAGTTGCTAACCTCAGCGCATCCCACATTTGTTCACAATTACGCGATCTCATAGCGCGATATGGTCAACTATCATAACTATCATGAGCCGTTTGGACGTAAACATGATAGGGAATGAAAGTTTAGACCATCATCGATGATCCTCAATTTAGCTGTGTCAAATATTTTTATGATACTTTATTATTTTGCTAGCGTTTCGAATCATTAAATAACTCGTTTCCTATGAAATGGCTAAAACTTCAAACGATTCTCTTTTCTATCATGACATCCACATATCATGAAGCATCACTTGTTATCTTAGTTCAATTAGTTGATTTATCCACAGGGATCTATCTTCAAACACCATCGCCGTTCTTCCAGAAGGACTCTTTACCAAGCTGACCATGTTGCGACACCTGTGAGTGGAAATTGATGTACCTTAGCTTACCCCATTTAATGTTTTTTAAATACGAAGTCTCCTACCAGCTAAAGCCAAGGAAATAATTTGTTACTGCGTCAATCTAGTTTTGATCCTGAGATGAATTTAGTGATGAATTTATTTTACCGTCCGTGACAAGCCAAACTCGCTGAGCTAGTGGCGTTATTTTGCACAGGTATTTGACTTGAAAAAACATTTACCAACTGAAAAATCCTTTAGTCTCAGTGCCTATTATGGAAAATATGAACTTGACTTCATGAAGCATTTTGTTTTCTTATGATAATGATCTTATTCTGAGTGTCTGATTTCAAAAATAAATCCATAACATTAAGAATGATAAATTTGTAACAAATAACTTTTCTGTCGTTTTCTGGGTTGTATCATGAAATTCCCAAAATCATAAAGCATTACTTATCTTTCACAGATATTTGTCTTCAAACGCTATCACCTTTATTCCTGAGGGAATCTTTTTCAAGCAGACCGAGCTGTTTTTACTGTTCGTAAAATTTGATATAGCTTAGCTCTCCTGTCCGTTGATTGATCACATACCAACACTGCCCAAAGAAATGTCCCCCTCATATCGCCAATTGCGTAACTAGGTGTAATGATGGTATTTATTTTCCCTTTATTATGACATTACATCAATCGGAGCACGACACTATAATCCACTGCAATGCTCCACATTGACAGGTTTAGAAAAACCCAATAAGGGGAAACGGGAATCAGAGTTAATGACCCAATACGCTTCAACAGATTTTGACTCTCGTTACCTTAAATCTTACTTCAAAGGCTTTCTGTCTCAAACGCTATTTCTTATCTACACAAAAAATTTTGCCAACTGAACCTATTCTCTTCCGTATGATACTTCCGTAACTTCATGATTATAGTAGAATAGATCTCCTTTGATAAATTCCCTATATTATAGAGCAGTGTACTTCTTTTGCATAGGTAGTCGATTTTTTTCCTCAGGGAGTTATCTTCGAACGCCATCACCTCCCTTCAAGAGGGATTGTTTGAAAGACAAACCAAGCTGAATCACCTGTATGTGAGATTTGTTATACCTTAACTTACCTTTTAAAATCTATGCAGTTTTACATTTAAACTAGGGCTCTTGCCTCTTCTTTTCACTAGTTTTGTTCTTTCCAGCTTCCTATTTGTTTACCTTACATGCTTTGCCATTAATATTTGTTTTCATTTTATTCCCCATATCACACTTTCAATAGACTGGAATACCTAAAGTGACACTGGTTATCCGTTGGCTGTGTTAATTATAATGATTATCTTGTTTTCCATGATGTTATTACTTCCATCGAGTATCACCAGTCATCTTCAAGCAATAACGTTCGTCTACGGTCGTCATGACTAAGTGGTCGCATTAGCTTCAGTCCCTTCGCTCACGAAGGAAAAAAGGCGACTGCGTACAGGCAACTCTTCATGTGATACTTAATCATAAAGTCGGAACTGGAACTAATTTTGCTTCTTATAACTCCAGTATCACAGAGAGAGAATTCACAAGGAATATGACCATTATACACTTTTTCTGATAGCTTGATTACTTGATTTTTCTTCAGATATTTATCCTCAAACGGTATCACCTCTCTTCCAGAAGGACTGTTTACCAAGATGATCAGGCTGCAAGAACTGTGCGTGATAACATACTCTCCATAATGTTCTGCGCATAAAATGAAACACTCCAACTTTACTCTATGAAATGTTCCCATGGAGCGAAAAGTTAATTCCACTTGCGAAACCGGATGTTATAGATACCTCTTACTATCCTTCTTCATAGTATTTGACAAAGTTTCGGCGACGATGAAATCATCTAGTTCTCGACTGGGGTTATCTTCGTCGTGCTCGTCTTTCTCTATTTCTTCTTTTTCTTCGTTTGCGTGCTCTTCCTCAAAATGTTTTCAATTTTTTCCTCAACATTTTGGCGATCAAAAAAAACTATTGAAGTTAGGGGGCCGTACAATGAAACACGGCCCGCTAAATTGGCCAAACATAGCGCACTTACTCACTGAGATAAAATGGTATATTAACTCCAATATAACTAAATTAACGCCATCAAGGTCAAGAGGACACATAAACTATGACACTGTTGTAGATTATATGTTAAACCACTTAGATAGGTGTACAACAACTTCGATTTTACTTCAAAAGCTAGATATCTATAAACGTTATTTCTAATCTACCACAAAAAAAATATTTGCCAACTGAGCCTATCATTTCCTATGTCCTACTTAAAATCTTCATCTACCTCGTTCTACCCTATAATTTTTTTTTGTGCTTTACTTGTTTTTCGTCGAGTTACTTAATTCTTCACAGGTATTTGTCAAAAAACGCTATCACCTCTCTTCCACAACGACTGTTCATCAAGTTGACCAGGCTGAATGACCTGTATGTAAAATGTATTACGCCCTGGTTAATCCTACACAATGTTCTATACGTGCTGAGACGAGAACCAACTTTACCCCACGAAACACTCTTTTCGGAGCCCTATTTAAGATCAGTGGCGAAATTATCTTAACATGTGCCAATGGTATTACGGTATAATTTAACCGACACAAAGTACACAACAATCATACAAACTCAACTACTTAATAACACAACTGTAATATTCTAATCATAGGGCGATTCCTAGAGGCGGTACAGTATTTATCCTTCACAAACTAATTTAGTCTATATCTTAACTCACCACTGACACAAACTCACAGTTTTCTCCAAAGTTCCATAGAATGAACAAACTTCCACAGTAGTTCTCTCCCAGTATAGCTTTCCAAGCAGTCGGTCACTCCTGACGATAACAACTACTAGTGCTACATGACTAAGTCCTTAGATACATTTACATAGTGATGTAGAACATGCCGAGAGCTTAAAACTCAACAAGTTTCATCAAATACATTTCAGCATGAATAAGCATTCTAGAAATTTATCTTTACCGATATTATTCATGACTGGTTTTTATCATCCCACCACTACTTCATTCTAAAAAGTAGGGTAAAATAATGCGCAAAATATGACACCATAATATATCGTGGCATTCCGGTTGGACTTGTTTATAACAATGCAAATACAGAAATCAAATCTGTTTCTACACCCATAAAATATGAAGCATTATTTTCTATTCAGTCACGTTATTTCTTTTTCCACAGGGATTTATCTGATAATGCCATCACCTCTCTTCCAGAGGGCCTTTTTGCCACGCTAATCAGTTTGCGGTTCCTGTAAGTAAACTTCGATACACCTCAGTTTTCCGTACTAAATTGTTTGTGCACTATCAAACATATCTAGTTTACTCAATCCAATCTTCTCTGAGCACCAATATTTCGTTTTTGTATTGAAACTAGAAGGCTGACATAAGTTAAGCGAACGCTGGGTCATAACAGTGAAATACTGTAAAGGATTGGGTTGGCTTTCTTTGGATTATTTTTGTTTTCCAAAATCTTAAATAAAGGTTGTGATCGAAGACAGTTGCAACCGAAAATAAGATTATACTTTTTTTCGTTTGAGGAAAAAATCGTCTCTAGAAAGGAGTATCCTCAGAAAAAATCTGATACTGACAGCGCTTGAGAATCAATGCATGTCTACATTATATGTTTCTCTCAGTTCTTAACAATGTCAAACGCATCACTTTCACAACCTTACTACTTTTTGTGATATAAAACAATTTTCCAATTCCTCCACGTTTTTTAATTTTTACTGTCACTTGTTGACCATACTCTTGTTGATACGGCTAGATTCCTCAATAGAAACAACCTACAACGTATTCCTCCACGAGCCTTCTATGCTTTGGAATTCATAAGTGCAATGTAAGTGTACACCAATACGCTAATTCTTTCAAAAATAATTACCGTCAGGAATTAGTGCAGCCCTCTCATGTCTTCATACTCGACAGCTTCTGTTGTCCAGTATGTTTCTAAGTTATTTTCGTGTCGGGTAGGATGCGCAGAGGCAAATTTTGGAGTCGCACGTAGGAAGTTAAGGTCCATTTTTATTGGTCTTCATAAAAATTTCACGTAACTCACACACCTCTGTTATCTTGAATATACGATTACCTTAGACAATATGAAATGTTTTTTTTATCCTGTCTTCATTAAATCATTCATCAAGTGCATTATCATTACTCTCATTAGTGAGTATGGTGACGTTGATTACCACAATACAACGATAACGACGATCGATGTATATTATGGCGATGAAGATAGCAGTAATGACGATGAAAATAACATCAATCTTTTTATCCTTTACGTTTAGAGCACTATCCGATAATCCCATACAGGCAATTGGGTCGGAGGCATTTCGTTTCCGCAGCCCCCTTACCACTCGATTGTAAGTTATCTTAATCATAAATTCTTGTATTCCTCACCGAAAAAAAAACCTCTCCTCAATTAATTTCAAACATCAGATTTTCAAATTAACCCTCGGAAGCTTGTTTTACCTTTGGTGTGAAATAATCCACAACAGTTTTGGTTTATGCATAACAGTTACGCTCATGGAGCCGTGACGCATCATCTTCCATTTCGAGATGTTTTTTTCAAACTACTCTTTCACGGCTTTTCTGATATATTTGGAAATTTTTGTTTAGCTATTATGGATATCTGTTTTATACTGAGAAATGTCACGCTTCTCCCTTCTTGTGTCATAGGTTTATGTCCACAACTTTTTGAGCAATTAACAATTTAGCTGAAATTATAGCTGAGTGAACAAAAATCGTATTTATTAATTATCACAAATCCACAAATACTCCTCTTACACCGCTAAATGTAGCATTTTTAGCTTACATGACCTTGTACAGGTCCTGTTGTTTCTAAACTAATAGCTGTGTTTTAACAGATTTCTTTTGCGAACGAACGTGAAAACATTTAATTCAGGATCCTTTGTGAATCTCAGCGTCCACGGTTTTAAACTGTAAAGTATCCAACGAATGTTTAATGAAGATTAACCCTATTAATATGAACTCAGGGAACCTCTTATGCTCCTCTTCTGGAAAGTTGTTGGCGCATCATTAGCTTCGTGTCAATCCCATTTTCCTCATCGGGATCGATCTCATTATCCGCATCAGTCATAATGCCACTAATATGATATGATAATTCGCAAGTGGAAATACCATACGGGTGCAGTTGAATGAGTTGATTTTGTAACTGTTTATTTTACAGTAGCACCTGCGCACGGTAAATCCGTCTTTTGCTGAAGGCAATTCTATATTAGGACATACTATGCGTAAATGTCTCATCGTAACGGATAATCTCTAACGATCAGACAGATCTCCACCGTAGGAATTTTCAGTTAAGTCTGCAGTGGACCATAAACTTTTTCCTGCAAGCATTCCTTCACTCATGACCCACAATGTTTCCATACCCTTAGACATAAGTCACTTAAAGTGCCTATGACACGAAATTTATTTTTGCATTTTCTGGTTGATAGCTGGATTTAAAATTAAAAATAATCGACCTTACGCCTTGCGAGTTCTCCTTGACCATTTTTTTTTCGCATTGAAAGTACGATTTGACGGCCAAATACTGTCCCCATTAAAAGCGCAGCCAAAAAGATCATGTTACATAGTTGTGACGTAGAAAACTGTAAAGACATGTCGGCAACTATGGTAAAGAAAGGAGAAATCTAGAAGAAAGGACGAACGTATTACGTGGACGGAGGACCAAATGATGTTAACTTAAAGAATAGTACACATATACCAGGTATTTCTATACATTACATTCCAAAGGATGTACCTACACGGCCAAATGGACGTGTTCCGATCGTCGAGATCGAGGAGATTTTACTCTTCACTGTTGTCGGTCTTATGCTCCGTACCGACTCCGAAGACGCTTGTTACGATCACATACCATTAGTGAAATCAGGGGAAGATAACCAAAGAATTCAGCTAAAAAATGTTGATTGAGGGGCTTTTTCCCACGTCGTACACGATTGTTCAACATTCGTTTCGGCTGATATTTCGCAGGCGAAGAATGATGAGCTTCTCATTGCTGTTTATTTCACGCACTCGAGATGTACTCATACTCCTTGTCTTTCCACATGACTACATTTGTGCATTTCTTATTGTATGAAAATCCTACCAATTGTAGTTTCCGTGGTATTTCAATAACAGAAATCTGTAATGATGACTGTAAACTCATTCGTTTTCCGTTCGGTTTGGCCGACTCGTCGATCGCGACGATACCCTCTGCCTCTGCCGATGACTTCTCGGTGAAAAACCATTGTGCCTCGTTATGCAGATGATTCTTTCGTCAAAAGTTAGCTTTTGGTTTACTGAGGGAATTTCTCTACAGCAACGAAATTCTAGAGAACTGACCGAGGGAAACCTTCGCCGCACATAGTATGAAGGTATAAAACTTTATGGCAACAGAAACGAACACAGCTACCCATTAGTAACATTGATTTTGCCATAGAAAACAAAACATAAACGCAACAAACTAAATGTTCAGTAACGGGAATTTTTCGCCTAAGCTTGACCTGAACACCGCAGGCGAGAAACTGTCTTTGTCAGTCTTCGTCGAAATCTTCGTTTGATGCACGCGGTTCTAAGCTAAACACTTTGGCAAAAAAATTGTGTCATAAGTACTTTAACATTTATAGTCACAACAAATTTTTATACACACTTTCCCCTGACGCGTTTTTTTTTTTCCTTTTCAATTAAAACAGCAAGCGTGAATACTTGTACTATTGTTTGTGCTTCTGTTTCAGCAATTTGTGGGGACAAACTCCTCGGAAAATAGCATACTACTATAACAACGAGACCATGCTAGAAATATATCTGTCAGTATCATATTTTTAGTGATCAAGAACATAAAGCTAGCAGCCGTCGGTATGAGCTTTCACGTAACGAACGCTCAGATGACGTCAGGTTATTTTGATAGACTACCTATAGACCACTTATTGCCCAAATGGTTCTTGGATCACCCAGAAAAATTTATTGTCTTCTTAAAATTTAGTTTAAAAGCCAGGTTTTTTATGCACTTCACCAACAATTACATTAAACACGAATAACTGTTTCTTGCGTTATAGGTAAGGCAACACTAAGCTGATATACAAGCAACTCTTGACTGCATTTAGTGACCAGTAGCCAACTTCGTTGTTCAATTTTATTCCTAGGAATCCCAGCGAATCACACATAACAGTTCTCGAAGTCACTTCTAGTTATTTTGGCTTCATTCGCTTACAAAAAGCTTTGTCAGGGATGGGTTTTACACATACCATCAATCACTCTAGCCGCCAAAGTCTATTTCGACTGTGTCCACTAGGAACATTTTCAGCGGGATATGGGAAGTGTTTTCCATGTCCTCCAGGTATGTGATCGTCTGATTAACTCTGAGATTGTATTGCTTACCACAGAGTCCTGACAATCCGTTAGTTATGAAACATGGAATAATCCTTTTTCGATTCAAATATACGTTTTATTTTATATGAAAAGTACTTTGGTATTACAATTGTTTAAGTGATTCCAACGGTTTTTTTTATGAAACCTGCCCTGAATGCCGGGGTAATCATATCATTTTTAATGTGCAGCAGTCTTCAAGCTTGCAAGTTTCTTACTTTCACACAATTATTTGTCATTTTAGTAATAACTTTAACTTTACTGTCCCTACTTTCCTTTGCCTCGGCTTTCCATCCTTTGCATCAAATGAATTTCAGGTGGATTTTACTCCGACACTCTTGGTTACGTTGCGGAAAGCTGCAAGAAGTGTCCAAATGGATCTTACGTTCCATTCGACAATACACCTGGAAAATCAATTCGGGATTGCAAAGCGTGCCCCTTAGGTAAGTAACAACACTGTTGGCACCTATCTTTTATCAAAGCTTGTCCGTCCATAACTCACCTCAAAAGTGGCTCTCGAAAAGTCAAATACGTGACCAGTGGCTATGAATTGGTGAGATGAGATTAGAGATAGTAACTCTGTGAAGACCACCCCTCGTGGGCTCAGAGTTTGGTTTGTGACGAAACTGAGGGATTTTATCAGGTCTACATAACTCTTAAAATCACAAGTAAAGGGCAAACAAACGCTTTACCTTGACAAAGCTGTCGGTCTTCATTAACACGTGTAACAACAGCAATAGAGTTCTTCCATCTCGTACACTTGATTAGCTTTTACTGTTTGCACACCAAATCGAAAGAAGTTTACATGACGGAAGATTTGATCCAGAGTGTGTTCAACTCTCTGCGCACAACCAAGCGCGAATGAATTGTATTTTTCAATCTCTGCATTAAACTTGAACTTGAACGCCTCCAGCTTTTAAACCCTAAGACCTGTCAAATACTCTGTTGATCTGCAGGTTCAGGGTCGTAGGTAGGTTCCGTTTGAAACCCTTTGGAACCGTTTGAGTTTCTCTTCGTGATTTTTTGTTCACGTATTTGCCTGGTGATGTATGGCCATAGCCTGGAGTTATGTAGGAAGAGTTACATGAAACCCAAAATGAATACTTATAAGACACGACCCCCTCGTCTACGGAGTGATTCGCAGTTAAAAAGTGCTGGAAATTCATATCTAGGGGATATGAATGTATTTTCAAATTCTCGAGATAAGATTTCGATGGTGAAGACGTTCATTTTACATTTCTTTCTTACGGCCTCCACAACTTTGCAGCTTCTAAACCGGATCCCTACATTTGAGTATTTGATCGTAAATCTGACACATTTAGTTATATATCTCGTTTGGCCAAGGGAAATCGCATATAAGGAATGCTCTAAAAGAAAATTGATTTACCAATGAGAAAAATCTGTTAGAAGTTAATAAATTTTAAAATTAAATCAGGAACTTCGTTTTTCGTATTGCAACTAAATGTACTATAGAAAAAACTAACTGAAGTTATTTTATAAGGAAACATTTTCATATTGCTATGGGTTAATACAAAACATTAAGTTCAAGAATCGATAAGCCTTGAAACGATGCATTTGATGTATATGACCAGCACCTTTTTATGTTAACAAACATGTGTTAAAATAAACTCTTCAAGTTATATAACCATAAATTTATTCTGAGAGCGTCTCGTACCGCCCGCTGTGCTAAGGCTTTCTAAACGTACGGATGTCAGCAGTAAGCAAGAAAGAAATGGAAAAATTTCTTACATCTAACTCATTGTACTGGTCGTGAGGCAGTTATAGCACTGTTCCGAAGAAATTTGAAAATAAGGCCAAATCTGAATTGAACAATACTGACGCCTTTGTAAATTTTAACAGGAACTGGTACTGACTTTTTTGCTGGATATCGCGCTTGTCCGTGTTTGAAAGGGTTTTATCGGACAAATCGATTCGCTGAGTGTCGCAAATGTGGCAACGGAGGACTGTTATGCCAAGATGACTATGCGTCCTTAAAATCCGGATTTTGGTGGCAGTGGCGGAACGAGACATTAAAAAATCACTACCAGAATTTCATACAAAATCTCTTGGCGCCTTCTCCAAGGCTGGATAACTTTTCCGTGCAATATCCGTATGCTATCCCTACACCTTACAGGTGCCAAGAAGAGGAATCTTGCAAAGGAGGCTTGGACTCGCCATGTGGAAAAGGGTATGAAGGTCCACTTTGTGCCGTTTGTAGTTCAGGATATCACAAGCGACTGCAGTCCTGTACAAAATGTCCCTCTAAGGCGTGGATTGCAGCACAATTGTCGATTATCCTGGTACTTTCATTTCTGCTTCTTGCTTTTCTGATGTGGAAGAGAACAACCAAATTGGAAAAGGACCAAGGTCACCATCTCATAAATGTGTTTTTTTCTAGGCTCAAAATACTTATTGGTTTTTATCAGGTAACTCACGGCCTACTAGAAGTGTTCTCGTTCATTGATTGGCCAGACTCATTGCAAGCGGTTGCCACATACTCTGGAATATTTCAATTGAATTTGCTTCAGATCGCACCGGTTCAGTGTCTATTTTCAGGGTTACAAGTGAATGCCTTTGGAGAATTGCTTGTGTTATTAACACTGAATTTGACTGTCACCATTGCCTTGGGGACAAGTTACGTTATCTATAAGACAATCATCATGAAGAATCATAGTCTACAAGACGAGGAAAAGTCGACAAAAATCTCCCAAACAAAACAGCTTGTTTACAAAAATCTGTTTTTCTTTTTGTATGTGACATATCTGAGTACCCTTTCCAAAACAGCCAGTGTTATTCCATTTGCCTGCCGAAAACTCTGCAGAGATGACAGGGAGGAGATGTGTAGAGAATACGCTAAATCGGATTACAGCATCCAGTGCCAAGGATCAATATACAACTATTGGCTTATCCTGGCATACGTTTCGGCCGCCTACATCTTTTCCTTGCCTGCTGCTTCATTTATTATACTTTGGAGGCAACGAAGAGTGATGCCATCCAACACAGAAAGTAATAAGGATTCTGACACGGAAGTGATTGAGGGGTTGACGTTTCTTTTTCAAAACTATAAGCCCACCTCGTGGTACTGGGAACTAGTCGAAATGTCTCGTAAAGCTGTTCTTACGTCTGGCCTTATCCTCGTGGGAGAAGAGCGCAGGTCCTATATTGGTTTAGCGTGGGTCGTAGCTGGTATGTATGGAATGCTTTTCTCCTGGATGAAACCCATACAACTCGCTTCTGAAAACAGACTCATGTCGACATCCCTTGCTGTCACTGTTGTAAACTTGGGAATTGGTGCGGTGGGCAGAATCCCAGCAGAGAATACATCAGCCTTAACAGATAAACATAGGGACGAAATAGTGATCAAGATATTAATACTTTGTGCAAATACAATGGTGATTGCACAAATGTTTGGTAAGAGAGCTGTGAGTTAAAAAATTTATTTTCGCTGCTTCATGTGAAGAACCCGATGACAAAAATTTAAACTAATGCAATTCGGACTTTAAATAAGCTATAGACTTCTTTCATAATGACGAGCACTATCGTTATTCTTCGGTGTGCATCCTAACAAGCCTTTTTGGCCTCACGTACGAGGGACAATTTTCAAATTTTCAACATTTCATCAAGGTTAGGCGGCATTTTACATGTTAATTAAAATAAACAGAAGGGCATTTAGGCCACCATTTACGAAAGAGGTCTTCTTGCCTATTAATTACTATTAATTACTATTATTACTAATAACTATTACCAATACTGACGCCATGTAGATATTACGAATTCAAATTGGAGAGAAGCCTTTTTACTTATTCAAACGAGGAGATAAAGGGGTAAAGGAAAAAAATTGTTCAATCATACATGCAGTGAAATATCTTCTCTACTTAAGGGTCACCACTTCAATTAAAAAAATTTCTTTTGCGATATTTTTTTTATTTTTCCCATACCTCAGTTCAGTACTTGATGTTTTTCTACGAGTTCTTCAAGAGGTGGTGTAAAAACCCACAATGGTCATTTTCTTGTTGTCTGGCTTTACTCATTCCTTTAAATGACTTGCAAGGAGAAATCCAAGAAATGGCCGGTAGTAACTTGATGAAGACCCAGCTTGACTCTGGAATGTTGGAAAAACCGTCCATTGCTGACTCTGCGCAAGACAGTGAAGCCTTAGCCCTTGGCCTCTGTCAAGATAATGTCGAAATCAAAAATGAAATCAGTATGGAATTTCACAAGCGAGAGGAAGAAGTCATCAAAGAAAACCACAACCACAACCATCAATGGACGCAAACTGTAGTCTCGTCTTTCGCTTTGAGGGCAGTGCATGGATGGATAAGAAGCACATTTCCAATAGAAAAGTAAGTCCTGCACCAACTTAAACCTTAAACCTTTAAAACAAAGAGACAGCGGTACATGAAAATCCCCTTTTTAGATAAATTTACGTACCGCTTGAAGACCCACCCAATCCATTTAATTTTAGCGAAGCTGGCGTAAGCGATATAAAACTAACAAAAGATCTTTTATGTTGCTAAAGTTTCTCACGATGCAATAAAACTTAATAATAAAACCTTGTTTGAAAGTCCCGTTGAACCCTTCATTTTTCTAGGCATATGTACCGCGAATCTCGGAAGCTTACCACTGAAGTAGAATGTAAAGTATCAGCTTAGCTGAAGACATGTGTGACTGATTAGGCAGAGAGTATGGCAACGGCAAACCAAAAGGAAGACATGAAGAATAAAGCAGAGAGTAATGCATCAGCAAAGCAGAAGGGACGGAAGAAGAATAAAGTACAATTCTTTATCCTATAAATCAATGAGCTGACTGTGCGTTATCGCATAAATCACGAAACAAGTTTAAAATGGGTGTTAAATCCCGACTTATATTCAGATAATTAAGTAGTTGTAGTCAAGATTATCCTGTTGACTAATAATATCATGGATACGCATCGAGCAAAGATCCCAATTCGACTTCAGCATAGTAAATACTAAATCATTTATACAATAAAATGCAATACGGCCTATCATAAAATGCAATACATTGATCACAGAATTTAGTCTATTTAAATGTCAGGAGTTTTATGAATATTGCTATTTAGTAACTGACACATGTCAGCCTCGCTAATCCAATTCTGTTACAATAATCATAGAAACTCTGCAGCACACTTTATTACGGTCATGAAGACGGTAATTAGCCGATCAAAAGTTTTGTAACTATCAAGCATGGAAGAATTAACGTTAAGTCCTTTTCCTTCTTTGTATTCAAAGATAGGGTAAGGGAGTCGGTATATACACGTTGCTTAACAGTTATTGAGCATGAAAACTACGCAACCTTGAAAACCATGTTTAGGCCAGAGAAATTATCTTTACTACATGTTAGCGTGAAGTAACTAAATTAATTAGTAAATAAAAGACGTGTTGCTTTGTCCCAACGACGCCTCTTGAATCTTTCTGCCATGTTACACAAAACTCTGGCTAAGCTTTTTCACATTCCTGTTTGGTTTTATTGGGAATAAAATCAAGGGGCTGGTTGTTCAAAGCCAACAACAATCTATGATTGAAAATTAAAGTTAGTTTTCACATTCTAAAACTAACATCGTGTTCGGTTTATCTCATTGTGGGAAAAAATTGACGGTAATATAACTAACACGGACATGTAAAGTTGCATCATGTCATTACATGGACCACTCTCTATGGAAAACTGTGTCAGCTCGGTTAAACATCAAACAGACACTCTTGTTAACTTAAAAGCTCCGAGGAAAACCTAAGAAAGCAACCTAGATACTTTGATTCAATGACGTAAACACTACGCAATTTTCGCAAAAAAACAATTCTTGATTGAAGACGAGCTTGCCTGTGACATATTAAGACACCACCAGTGGTTCTAATTTATTTAGGAGTGATGGTTAAACTGTGATTGTGCAACTAAAAGCCGGAGATACTGCCGCTATTATATGATTATACTGATACTTTCAAAGGCCGCACAAAGCGAGAAAAGATCTCAGGGCGAAACTTAAAAGCTGAGACCTTTAAGTTAAGCGATTCATTATACCTATCTTACCGTTTGCTCAAGCTACACGAGTTTGATTTGGAAAGAAGTCAAACAATTGGCAATTTTAGAAAATCTGAGAGCAGCTCGACATCAAACAAAAATTTTTGAATGAGAAATAATTGTTTATTCTAAGTTACCTCTCTTTTACTGATCAAATGTGATAAAAGCTAAGACTGTATGAGGGTGATAACAACTAGCCATACTTCGCTCACTCAATATCGGAAGGAGCAGTTTCGAAATATTTTTCTAGCCTTCCTTTGTTTGGCAGGAATCTTTGGCATAAACAATATATCAAGATCTGAATGAAGATTTTGTTTCTCATCAACTTAACAGTGGCTGTGTAACGGCTGCCACGCCTTTGCCACCGGACATTGATTCGCTATAAGTTTGTTTCGTGTCAAACCGCAATAATGACGTTACTGTTTGTCCATCAGGGACGTGATCGTTAAGTTCCACCCAGAACCGCATTTTAATTACTTGTCTTGCTTTGGGCGAACGATAAGACGTGTTTATCGGAAGAGCGCCTTTTGCCCACCTTATCTTGAATTTCGTTTTGGTCAAACTCTTACGAGCGAGACTTTTATGTAAGTGCCTGTGTTCCCTTTCTTTGTGCCTGTCTAAATATCTAGTCTTTTGGTAGTTTCTCCTAGTTTTTACATTATTTTCTTTATCGCTCGTTTTCGCAAGCTTATAACACGTGGCTTACTTTGTTCACGCTTCGGTAGAACGCTACGCGTTTTTTCCCATTCGGCTATTAGTTTTGTCAGAGTTCGTTCTCAAGTGGTTTTCCTTTATCCTTTTGAAGACAGAGTCTTTTTGTGAGTTTTTTTTTTTTTTTTTAGTTTTAGCTAGTTTTGGATCTTGTCTTTACATCGGAATAATTGAAATGTTGGTTCGTATATTAGAATTTAGCTTTGCTTCTTCCTTATAATTGTATATTTCAGTTTACGATAAGTACTTGAGTGGATACCTTGACTATGTTAAGTAAAACGATTCAAGGCTTGTCCGTAAAATATATCCTTGCTTCATAGTGTGTCTTAGCGAAACTCATAGTTGTCGTGGAAAATTTGCTTTCCTTGTGTCGGCCGCTACGGGTTTAAAATAGTCAAATTGTGCAAAAGCAATTTGTATGTTTTGAAGGGGCTAGGTCACGCTGTGAGTTTGCGCAATGAGTTTTTTTTGGCTTAACATTTATACTAGTGAAATTGCTATTGCTCCCACTATTGTTGACATGAAACAGAATGCTTTGTTTTAAAAGCCGACCGTAAAAAGGTGATTGGTAGCCTGCTACTGTATATATTACTGGGTAATTGCACTTCAATATGTAGAAAAGTTTTGCTCCGGTTGTTTCTTGCGAATTTTATAAACTTAAGGGGGTTTTTCTCTCGATTTAAATACGATTTTAAGGTTATGTATTGCTTGTTTTATTAAAAAAAAAAAGGAATTTCTCAGGCGCGTTATGGAAAAATCTATAGGACACCAACGTGGCAGCTTTCCAGGAAGGACATCTTCACTCGTAATAATCCTGAAAAAAAGATATTGAAGAAGAGATATTTTATAGGATGGCGACCTCAAGACGCTTACAAGATAAAAATGGCTACATCAGTGAAGAAGTTAAACGAGTTGCTGTTGAGTTATGTATTTCGGTAACACTTGCATCTTGTAAAACAAGAACGAAATTTTAAGCAACATCTAATGAAATTGGTAATTCTTACCTTTGTAAACAGGACGAAAAGTGAAAGAAAAAGAGGATAAAAAAATGATTCGTGAAATAACTTAAAGAGCCCTCGAGCAGCTCAAAAGATTCCAACAAATGGCCAAAACATCCTTTAAGTTTTATTCCTTTTCAGATTTTTTTCGTGAAATATGTTCTTCTTCAAGTCGCAACTTAGCCGCTTTGATTCAAGTTTACGTTCGCAATTTACTTTCTCGTCTAAGTGAAGCGAAAAACACTAGCGGTTTTGAGTTTATAACGCACTTTACAATGGGAGAAATTCATCATTTGTAACATATAAATACCACATTGTATCGCATGTGAACTATTTCATTCTTAATCAAAAAAATTATTTTAAGTGAGGATCTAAACTTTCGTTATCGTTATCGAAGGTCCTTATTTCTGACAATCAGAGTCGTCCTCTAAGAGAAATTGAAAAATGGCGCTGTTTCTTACCCTTAAATCCCAAGTTTGAGCTCACTCGAGATTTTCTATCTGCTGATGTAGGATTTCGCCTTTACGAGATGTTGGAAACTTTTTACTATCATTTTTCGATACTTCACTAAATTTACAAAGAGTGAAAGTTACTGCTTACAGAGTTAGCAACAGAAAAAAAGGGTGACACAATTGTTTTTAAAAGTAGGGATGACAGCTTGTTATGATTTTAACATTTCAATGTCAATCTTTAAATACTTTTTCAACTCTCTCGATTATAAAACAGAAAATTGTACCCTTATGTTCAATGCAGATTTGCATGAAGGATCAAATAAATATCTCAGGGAATAGCCCTATGAACTACCCGCACACAAAGTAGCATTTAGGGATACTGACCAATTCCCATTAGGCTCGAGCCCATAGACGCATTTTTACCTGAGTTGGTGCTGACATCTGTCCTCACAGAGGTTACGAATTTGGCTCAACAACAAAATTAACTTTCACTTGACTCAACAGTGGGTCTCAAAATGAAACCTGCTTAAGAAGAGCAAGGAAAGGTCTGTTTTATTGGTATCTAATGATGTAAACGTTGGCAATCAACCATGGAAAATGAGGGGTCAAATAGCGATCAAAACAACGTCAACCGGTCAAATATTGCGAGGTCATGCAAGAGAGAGACAAAAATGTATCAGCCCGCTCCCTGGCCTTAGTTTGATGCAGTTCATGCTCAGTGCCGCCCTTGCAATAAAATGCGTTGTCGTTGTTTAGTCCAACTTCAGTTCTTTTTTTCTTTGCAATGTCACCTGGCTAATTCACTGTGCCTTGATTTTTCTGTATCCTTCTGTTCATTCATTTACATATACCTCCGTCCATCCATCCATCCATTCAACTATCCATCTACTCTTCAACCATACATTTATACATCCGTTATGCTACTATTCACATATCCATCCACCGATTTATGAATCTGTCAATCTCTGACCTCAATCATTCAACTGAATTTATTTTTTCGTGGATCTGTTTCGTCTTATATCGTTTGTTCGTTCCTTGATTGAAAAATTTTTCTTTTTTCATTTCTGTCTTTGCAGTGGCCGAAGAAATGAGACAACAACAAGCACACTTAAATGACCGCCAACTGCCACATCGCTTATCTTTATTTAGGTGTTTACTAGGAATTATCACATTGCCTTAGCTAAACAAGGTCAGCTTAGTTTTCTGAATAATCTTACTTTCTGCTGTCAAATGTTAAAGTTATTTTGTAAGTGTTGATGAAGATTACTACCTTGGTTAGAGAATATTAAGATAGGTACTCTACCCGATTGGGTAGAAAATATCAATTTTTGAGCCAGAGGGCAGCAGAAACATATCAATTCTCGAGCCAAAGGGCAGCAAAATCAACTCTCTGCAAAGTCCTGGATATTCAAATAACTACCCAAGGAAAATGGATTAGTATTTCAAGTCATTATTCCTCACGGTATGGCTATGGAATTTTCTTCGACCAGTTTGTACAAATTTCCAATAATCATAAATTCACATTGATAAGATTTCGTTCAGACTCATTTCTTCAAGAAAGCGGATTCTCCATGTTTTTCAAAGCCGTTTTACCAGTGTGTTTAAATAGCATTCATCCGTCGCCATTCCACAACTACTATAGTCAGTGAGTATAAACGGTAAAATACATGTACGAAACAACGAAGTGCTTCTTTGAAAAAAAATGAATGCTGTTCGGCATCGGCTTAGACTTCTTGTCTTGGCGGAGTAAGAGTTCAAAATAAACATATTTTAACCAAAGAACGCCTGTTTATGCATAATATCTATTTTAACACTCGTTGCTCTCACATTTTGGATCATGGATTATATGGCCATCATTTTTAAGATAAATCTTCAAACCTTTTTAATTTCAAACGTTGTTAATTCTTAGTGGTTAAGAGCTTGTGCAAATTATCACGCAAGAAATTTGTGTTGAAAGGTGAAAAAGCATATATCAATAGCGCAACAACATGCATGACCTTCTGTTTAATGTAGTTGACTTTGCGGGTGATCTGTGTGTCGCTTCGTTTGTGCTTGTGACCAACTGTAAAGCTAGCAACAAGCTTAATTGGAGCTTGTAATGTTGTTAAATCACACGTCTTTTCTAGGTCCTCCCAG